TTCCAACCCAAACCAGTCTGTGATTCCATGGAAGTTTAAACTTCATTTTAAATGGGAAAAAGTCTGCAAGCTTTAGACATGAACTTGTCCTTCAGCCTTCTTGAGTGAGTTGAGCTAATGTGTTAATGTAGAACAGCGGTCTTTCCTGTGACAATGCAGTGATGCTGCCTGGCCTTGCTTCAGCAACCAGTACTTTCTATGTGTGTTGTATTTGCTGACTACAGGCACAGTGAAGTGATATCCTCACAGTGGTGTGTGTCTCCCATTCTTTCCAGATGCCATGAAGTACACTATTGTGGTGTCTGCTACAGCATCTGATGCAGCACCCCTTCAGTATCTGGCTCCCTATTCAGGCTGCTCCATGGGGGAATACTTCAGAGACAACGGAAAACATGCGTTAATCATCTATGACGACTTATCCAAACAGGTCAGGAAACATTGTTTATGGGCTTCATAGCTTAATGTTGGTGTTTGTAGCTGTAAGATCACTTTGGGTTTAGAAATTCAAGGTTTTAAATGAGCTGCTGAAGTCTGAAAGCTTGCTTTAAACCACGCAGGCTGTTGCCTATCGTCAGATGTCTCTACTGCTGCGTCGTCCACCCGGTCGTGAAGCCTACCCAGGTGATGTGTTCTACCTGCACTCTCGCCTGCTGGAGAGAGCAGCCAAAATGAATGATTCCTTTGGAGGTGGCTCTCTGACTGCCTTGCCTGTCATTGAAACTCAGGCTGGTGATGTGTCTGCTTACATTCCAACCAATGTCATCTCCATCACTGACGGTCAGGTAGGACTTCTTCACATGCCGGTACTTCTGTGTAACTTACTGACAGGTCTCTGAGGAGGCTTCCAGGCTTCTGACCAAGATAATAAAACAATTTTCTCCTACAGATTTTCTTGGAAACTGAGTTGTTCTACAAAGGTATCCGTCCAGCTATCAACGTTGGTCTGTCCGTGTCCCGTGTAGGTTCTGCTGCTCAGACCAGGGCTATGAAACAGGTAAGCATGAAACTGATGCTCCTTCTCTTGCTAGAGATGAGTAGTGTGTAGGCTGTCCAACCCATTTTACTCTAAAGAGTTTTGAATAGAAAGGAAATAAAGCTTTGGATTCCTTAGTGTTTTGAAACTATAAAAGAATAAACTTTGGGGATCTCTCTGATATTTCCATTGCCTGTGAGAGGCAGGACAGGGAGAAAAGAAAAGATCTGCATAAAGATGGAGGATTGTTAAGTTTCAGTATCCTGAACTGGGTACTGATCTAACTAGAAACAGAGAATGCTCCTTGAATTCCATGCTTTTAGTCCAGATATGGAACTGAAGAGGTTTAATACTAACTGTCACCATTTTAGGGAGGAATAGCATACTTATGTTAAAAAGCCAAGCAGATGGTGCGATTTTTAGAAATACATGTAATCATCTGTCAGAATCTGGAGATTCACTCGACTGGTATCCAGGGCAGTGCTGACCTGTGACAACTGTCAGCTGAAGATAACCTACAAACTACTGGAGACATTTGAAAGGTGGTCAAACTCAGTCTGTCCTCGTGTTGTAGGTGGCAGGTACCATGAAGCTGGAATTGGCTCAGTATCGTGAAGTCGCTGCCTTCGCTCAGTTTGGGTCTGATCTGGATGCTGCCACACAACAGCTGTTGAACCGTGGTGTACGTCTGACAGAGCTCCTCAAACAAGGGCAGTATGGTGAGTGTCTTCCATGGTAACCAGTCTGTGTTTCTGATTAGCCTCTTGTGCTAACGAGGCTGGTCTTTGCGGCAGCGTGAAGACATTCTGTGAACATGGTAAATGTAGGTTTATTTGAGCCACGTTGTACGTGTGCAGTTGATCTTCAAAGAAGGACTCTGTAGTGCTGATGTCTCCCAGTGTAAGAGTTACCAGTGGCACGAGTGCTTTCTTTTCTGCAGTTCCCATGGCTATTGAGGAGCAGGTTGCAGTCATCTATGCTGGTGTAAGAGGTCACTTGGACAAGCTGGAGCCCAGCAAAATCACTAAATTTGAGAGTGCTTTCCTAGCACATGTCCTGAGCCAGCACCAGGCCCTCCTCGCCACAATCAGGTACGGTGATTTATCTTCCTTCATCCAAAGGGTATTGACTGGATGGCTGGAGTGCAGATCATGGTCACTGAACTGTTCACTTCCTGTATCCTACAACGTTCCGCTGCATGTACCAGAACTGGAGGTTAAATCAGTCCTCCTGCTCTCCTTGCACTGGTCTCCAGAGCTCAGCTTCATGTCTCCCAGTTTTCATTTAGGAAATCCAACTGATGCTTCAAATGAACCTACTTGCATACTTCTCCTCTAATCTGATACTGAAATAACGTAATCTGATCAGTTCCCATATTTCTGACAGCTTTAAGTGCTGCTTGTGGCCTTCCCTGCTGCTGAGTGGACTGCTGAGGCTCGAGTATTTCCATAGTCCTGCCCTGTAAACTGCTCCTAGCTTGTTCTAGGAGTCAAATCATGTGCCTTCCATCTCTGAGGCGCAGCTGTATCAAAGATAGAGCCTCGTTGGAACTACTTCCAGCTGTTTTTAAAGTATTTATTTGACAAACCTTAGTTTTTAAACAGAACTACCTTTTTGAGGAAAAGGGATGTTATGTTTCAGTGGTATAGCTTCATGCATCAAACCGAAAAGTGTTAATTCGTCTGCTAATTTTGTTAGAAATTGGAAGGTTCATCATAAAGTTTTTTTTTTCTTTGCCTTAGGGATTGAACATATTCTCTATTTCTGTGTCAGAAATTTAACTAAACTCTTTCAACAGGACGGAAGGGAAGATCTCTGACCAGACAGAAGCTAAGTTGAAGGAAATAGTCACAAGTTTCTTGGCTACTTTTGAGGCATAAGCTCTTAAAACTGTTCACGCAGACCAGGCTGTTGTGATCCCGTGCTCCAGCTCCATCAAAGACTTAAAAAGTATGTACGACTTGAATGTACAGATCTCAATGAGAATAAAAGTTTCTGTGTAAAAAGGCTTGTATATTCTTCTAAATTATTGCCTTTTTGCTTGGCTACTTGGGCAACACGTGTTTAAAACCAGAGAGCTAAACTCCCCTGGACACACTCTGAGAAATCAAGGGGCATCTTTACTGTTGGGTGGATCAAACTCCCTGTATGAGAACAAGTAGGGGTAGGAGTTGGATTCTACAGGGTTCTCTTTAACAGTCTGATCCTGTGACAGAGTATTTCTTAGAATTGCTGTCTAAGCCATCCTGCTGCCTGGCTTTCAGAAGATGGGTTCTTCTAGAATTGACTGCTCTGGTGTGTCAGGACAGCTGCACGTTTAGCTGTTAGAGTAGTAACTGCCAGAGATTTAAATGCCACCATCCTCTGTGGTTCTGTCAATAAACTGTCTGCAGTTGTTATTGCTTGGGGGGGGG